TTTAGGTTTTTAGGGTGTAGGGGTTTAGGGTTCAGGTTTGGGGTTTCGATGTAGGTTTGCTACATGCAGACTCGGCGACAGTACGACTATCATTTTTTGGAGCCAGGCTCTACGTATTGGCATGCTTTCAGGGACCTTGGTTTGTTGTGGGACCATCTGACAAACAATGCCTCCTCGCCTCATAATCACTCGTGAGACGGTGTTGCGGTGGACTCGAGAAACCCAGCAGAATCCGCTCGAAGCTCATGGCAAAAACCCTAAACCCCAAAACCCCAAAGCCCCAAAACCCCAAAGCCCCAAAACCAAAAACCCAAAGCCCCAAAGCCCTAAACCCCTAAACCCTGAAGCCCCTGGCAAGCAAGCAGATCTTTCACCTGGAAGGCGCTGAACGGCCGAATGGGCATCGTGCGGGGCGGCCCGACTGGTGATGGCCGATGGCAGGCGGCTGGATGGGTGCTTCGGGGGGGGGGGGCTGGTGTAGGGTTTAGGTTGGGGCGAATTGGGCGAATGCATATAGACATACGGAGATTATTGAAGTATTCCCACCAAGACTTTCGATTCAATTGGTCTTGTCTTGTCTTGTTTTGTCTGGAGGTGTATTGCATGTATAGCTACTCCCCCTATGGCGCTGTTTGTACTGCTTCTTGACGGCGTTTGGTTGAAGAAGGTGGAGTTCTGGAACGACACAGGCTCCGCTGTCGATGTGCTGCTTGACAGACGTGGATGTGCAGACCCATAAACTCTCCCCCCCCCCCCGCCTCAAACCCAACTCACAAAAGCGCTCTGTACCCTCATCCCAAAGCAAAAGCAAGTCTTCTGAAGCCGAACTCGTGAATGTCAAATCCAAAGCCTCTAGGAAGCCCGAACTCCTGAACCCCAAACCCATTCGGAAAGCCCGGCAGCCCGAACATCTTCTTAGCAACACCCCTCATTTACGAGACCTCCGGGCAAAGCCCAAGGAATGCCAGCATCAAGCGAGCGAACTTAGAGTTCTTAGAGGCCGCGCCAGCGCCAGAGGACTCGCGCGAAACACCTCCAAGCTCTGAATCCTGAACCGGCCTAGAGCCTAGGAGTTTTATGCCGTTTTGAAGCTTAAACTCTTAAACTTTAAACTTTAGTGTACAGGGGTTTAGGGTCATATTCGGACAGGGCTTGGAATCGGAACCGTAAGCCGCAGTTTTTTCAATCTCTGGGTTTACTCATTTGGAGTTCTACAGACTCCAGAAGTCTTTAGGAAGTCCTCCCAACAAAGGGCCTCCCGGGTTAAACCCTGAACCCTAAACCATGAAGCCCAAAAAGGAGCTTAACAATAAAAGTCGTGAATCCCCAAACCTTAGCCGCCTTGGCCAATTGTTCCAGGAGTCAGCAGCGGAGTTTTGGCCGGGATGCATCGTCCGAGCCTTCGGCTTGCAGAAAGCCCAGGCCTCCGGGGATCAGGGTGTAGGGTTTGGGTTTAGGGTTTAGGGTTTAGGGTTTTAGGCTTTAGGGCTTAAGGTTGAGGGTTTAGGTGTTTAGGTTTTTAGGGT